GCCATATATAAAGTATGAAAGGGGAAAACAGAGAGTCGTTTAATTGTAGTTGAATGATGCCATCAGAGGAGTAACTCTCATGGGATTTTCCTCTTCTCTTCTAGGGAATGGACTTGTCCAAAGCAGCCAGTTGCCGGCACCGTGAGGGGCAGGTGACATCTGTTTATCCCACTGGTGTGTTTCTGCCTTCTTATAAGTCTTCCTCAGGAGGAAGACCAGTAGCCCAGTTATCTCAGGAGGCAAACAGGAGAGAATTTAAATGTCAAACATGTGGATATCAGGCAATCAGCGAATCTAAGCTCACCATGCACATAAGAAGACATACAGGAGAGAAGCCCTTTGTTTGTCCTTACTGCCCTTATAGATCTGCTCAAAAGAGTAATTTAAGCACGCACATCAAGAATGTACACATATATGGGAAGACTTAGTCATCTAATCCCAGAAGGTGAATGCCTTTTTATTTTGTGTAGGATGTTATGCTAGAGATTAAAAAAAAAAACAGAAAGAAAAAAAAGAAGACTGCCAGAAATTAGTCTTAAATATTTTTTTCCTGTTCTCTAGGTGATCCCGTGGGTAGGCAAGAGCAGGGCGAACTACCAGTGTGAGTCATGCAGCTACAGCACTCGCAACAGTAAGGATATGCGTCGCCATATTCGTGTTCACACAGGAGAAAAACCCTTTGCCTGTCCACTATGCTCACATCAATCAGCTCGCAAGTCCAATTTAATAAATCATGTTAGAATGAAACATGGTGTTCCATACAAATAGGTAAAGGAAAGCAAAAGTGCACTGAATAACACTTACCAGGAAGAATGCAGAAATTAATGATCATATTCAATCAATGCTATGAAATGACTCAGTTGATCATGAATTTTTTTACCAAACAGTTATTTGAAAAGCAGTGTATTTTCTCTGATAAATGCTTCTGGGCATTAATTGTTGGAAAACCAAATAAGTATAAAACATTTGGACACTTGAGTGAATGAGTTCTCGTGTTCCCGTAGGTCCAGCGGTGGAGGACCAGGGCTGGCGGAACATGCCATAGATGCGGCCACTGTGGATACCAAGCTAGGGACAAGCTGGACTTGCAGAGACATACTCGCATCCATACAGGAGAGAAGCCATTTGCATGTCCATACTGCCCCCATCGTTCAGCACTGAAGGGAAATCTTAAACATCATATCTTAAGGAGACATACAAATATTTGATCTAAAAAGAGAAAATACATATACTTGGTCTAGCAAAAGAAAACTTTATTAAAATTTGAAAAATAAACTCTTTTAGCAATATAAGAAGTTTAGAGGCAGACACCATCCTCCTCAGTAAGTGAAAAAAAAAAGGATACCAGTGTGGGGTGAAAAAGAAGAGTTCTCAACAGCTAAGAAGATAAGAGGCCCATATTTTGAAGAGTGCCCATATTTATTCATCTTTCCTGTTTGTAGGTACCCAGGCCTGGACACAGAGGCAGAACCAGAATGCCACAGAAGTGTCCATTATGTGGCTATGCAGCTTTGGATGCTACTACCATGCGGCGTCACATACGCACACACACTGGGGAGAAACCATTTGCTTGTGAACTTTGTTCATACCGCTCTACTCTGAAGGCCAACCTCAAACGACATATTGCAAATAAACACAGTAGTCCTCAGATATGAATTCAGTGTAATACTTGAATTATTGCTAGCTGATTATTATTAGTGCTAAGGTAAAAATGTTAGTATTGATATTTTTAATATGAATTGTACCATTTTACTGTAGAGTGAATGTAAATTTTGGCAAGTCTTACAAGGCATGCCATTGTAAGGAATCAGCTCAATTTTTGATTGTATGTGTCATTTGACAATAAAATTTGTTTTATAGATGTGCCTTCTGATTTACTTTTATACAAAAATTATATTAAAAAAAAATGTCCTTTAGAAGGTGTGATTTAAAATCAGTTGAGTTACGCAAAGTGAAGTCTGTGACTATATATTCTGAAATCAGATTCTCAATGATTTTGATACATCTGTACAGAATTCATGCCTGATGTGTATGTTACAAAACTGCACATTAATTATTCCAGTATTTCTAACTTTGGTAAAAGCTTGTACCAGTTTGAGTCTTTCATGAGATTGCACTGAGAATTTTACTTTCAAGATACCATTTGGCTATTCTTGTCATCAAAAGCTCCAATAAGCTGATTACAGATACACTATGTTTACATTGATTAAAAGATACCACTTCAGTGGAGGTAAAATTGATATGTACTACCATACCCATCCAAAGATAATCCTTGTAAAAGATTAGCAGCAGCAATATGCAGTCCACTTGGATGATAGGAAGAAATAGTAATACCAAAAAAGTTTTTTACAAAGCATTCAGAGAATCGGGAAAAAGTGCAAATATTCCTAACAATTCAATTGTTATCTTCTTTCTGATCAACCCCACGTACAAATATTGATCTAGGAGAGAAAAAAAAAGTAAAATATTTGCTGAACTAAGTTTTGAAAGTTGTAATTGTTTATCATCAAAATAGGATTTTGAAATTCATATTAACCGTGGTATGGATACCAAGAACTTGTTTTCTTTTGTAACTGATATATAATGATCAGTTATATATATACAGAAAATTCTGATTTACAATGCAAAGACTACGGATTTGGGTAGAAATTGTGAGCAAGCAGGTTTGATGTTCATAAATCTGATATATTTTAATGCAAATGGAATGAAAAGATTAGGCTTTTGACATTTGTCATTAGTTTTTCTATTATTATTTTATCATTATTTATTTACTTTTTATTAATTTTTTTCCCCCGTCTTAAATATTGTCAGCGTATGCTGTAATAACTACCATTATGATTATAGTTCTGAGTAGTAGTATTTATCATCATTATCATTATTATTATAATTCATTATTATGTTTTTTATAACTTTAAATGATTTAGAAGCGTTCACACTTTGTGCGATTATGAAAGGTTTATATTTAATTCAGTATTGATAATGGTTGAAGGTTGCCACTGCTGCTGCTTCAGAGAGGAAAGGCAGGATGCAAACTTAAGCGGCCATTTCTTTTGTAGGGCGGTGCAGTAGCAGCAGTGGCAGCAGCACTGCGGGTGTGCTCGGTGTGCGGCAAGATGGGTTTCCGACGAACGTATGATCTCCAACGACATATGCTCTCTCATGCAGCAGTTCGACCCTTCCAGTGCCCTCATTGTCCTTACAGAGCAGCCCTCAAGTACAACCTTGATGCTCATATTCGACTCAAACATCCAGAAGAAGCTCAGTCTGTACAAAGGAATAGAGATCCAGGATTTACAAGTGGAAATTTGACAGGATCTGTAGCTCAAGGAGCACTACAACAACAATCCTGTGAAACATCTGATAATGGAAACAGCTTTATTCAAGTTGAATGAGCTGAAGGAAAATCTTGATTTTATGAAGAATATATACCAGGTTTACAAGTATGCCATCATTTGAAAATTATATATCATGGGATTGCTAATAATAGGACTAGAGACTGGCAATACATTAAACAGTAACAGCTGTCTTTGCAAGCCTTTTCAATAGTATTGTCTGATGTATTATTTATCTTATCCCTATGTAATTTTTAATTGTTTGAATGGAAGAAAACTTATATTTGTGCTGATTGATATTTATTGGCTTTTAGAAACCGTGCTGCAGAAAAGAAAAATAGTAAAATAAAAAAATAAAATTCTCGTCGTGCAATGTAAGAGGTTAGCAGTGTCATACATATGAACAAATGAACTTTTAAATTGTGGGTATGAGTATAAAAACAGATAACAGTAATGAAACAATTTGAATGGAAATTCATATGCTGTAACTAAATGTGATTGGAGGTAGAAAATAAAGTGGTATGGTTTTCTCCATAGGGAACGGAGTTGGGCAAGCGAGCTGCCATGACAAGTATCGGAGGAGGAGGTGGCAGCGCACTCAGGACATCTTTCGTCTGTGCTGTTTGTGAAAAGATCTTCAATCACAAGGGCAACTTCATGAAGCACTATAGAACACATACTGGAGAGAAGCCATTCCAGTGCCCCAAATGCCCCTATAAAGCTACGCAAAAAGCTCATTTAACTACCCACATGTTGGGAAGACATGGAGAACTCCTCCATGGCTAATTTGCAAGTACAAGGGTTGGTCACCACACTAATCACAAAGCCAGATATAAAGAAATCTGGCGAAGATACTCCTGCCTATCAGTGGCAGTATGCAAGTCAGTATTATATGTAATTTATTTCACCATTTGTATCAGTGTTCTTATTTTATTTTTACTGGATACGTACTGCTTATCAGTGTTTGATAGTTATGTGTAAATTTTGGTCATTATGATTTCTGAATAAAGATGTTAAGAAATCTCTTGTTTTAGTGAGAATACAAACATGTGCATAAAGGCAAAATGAAAGTTATGGAAACCATGCTGTAATGGATTTTAGTTTATTTATACAAGGGATTGTAAATCTTTACAATCAGGTGTTGATGGGTATTGATACCTTTATCAGCAATGCATATTTTAATGAAAAACTTGGGATATAGGGTTGAGCTTCTAATCAAAGTCATAATTTCAGTATTTGACTCAGAATTTTAAAAATTCCATGTGAAAAAGAATTCTTAGAAAAGCTTAGCTGCTTATGAGTAGTAAAGGAAAGGAACTACAAAATCAGTTGACAGATCTGGTTACATAATGATTAGGATGACTTCGATTTTGAATAAAGGGAAAAGAAGGTAAGATATCAAATCAGCCTTCATAGCTTTGTACTTTTTATATGCTTTATTTTAGATTATAATGCACATATATATGCTCCTATGTTATTAGGTATTTCACATATAAAGGGGAGGCTAAGAAAGATATATCCATGGTAATTTGCATGTTTTGTGGTGGTGTTTATGCCCGGAAGTTTGCTAAAGAAAACTTAGGGTGTTGGTTTTCTTTTCCTGTAGGGACAACGCCAGAGGGTGATTGATGGGCTGCCAGGGTTGACCCCCACCAGTGTCCTCCACCCTTCTTCAGCCGTACACCTCAGTCCTCACTTTCAGCCTCAAGACAGAGTGCAAGAGGCTCACCACCTGGGTAGTTCTTCAGAGGAAAGAACTATGACTGATGGCCCTGTTGCAGGACATGAGGGTCATAGCTGGGGTGATGGCGCACATCCTCGTCTCTACCCATGCCCTGTTTGTAATAAGCCATTTACACATAAGGGTAATCTTCGAAAGCATATCAGGATACACACTGGAGAAAAACCATTTGCTTGTTTTTACTGTCCCTACCGTGCCAATCAGAAGATACTACTCCAGCTACACACACAAAAGCGACATTCACAAGCTGATCAGAATTGGCAAGATATTAAACATAAACCAGGAAACATGGTTGAGATACAGCAGAAAAGAAACCCAGCAGATTAGTGGAAGAAGTAAAAGAAACTTTACTGTTTTTTCTAGACCTTTTGCTGTTAGATAAATGGAAATGATGTGTGTTGTTAAAGAGGAGACATCAAATTACTATACTAATATAGAATCTGAGAGAGGGAAATACATTACTATAGAATCTAAACTAATGAAAAGTATCCAGTCTCTTTTTAAATTCATGTTGATGTTGGATTTAGAAAACTAAGGTAGTGGTTTTCCTATTTCTAGGGTGACCTGGGAGGCTTAAGAGGCAGAAAAAGGCTAAGCCACAACGTTATTGCTGCTGTGACCAACACTGCCTACAGCTACACGTGCCCTTACTGTGGGAAGGGTTTCCACTATAAGACTGACATTGTGCGCCATCAAAGGGTCCACACAGGAGAAAAGCCATTTAAGTGTCCTCATTGTCCATACTGTTCCACACAAAAAGGAAATCTTAGAAGTCACATGGCAAAGATACATAAGAGTTCATTAGAGTAAAGTAGTCCTGAATGGTCATTAAAATCATATAAAAGCAGAGTAGCTATAGGTATTTTATTATTACAGATTTTACAGATTTTACAAAGAAAGTACTGGGTCTAGTCTTGATTTTCATTTTGTATTATTATTATTTTTTTTTTGCATTTAAAAGATGAATTAACGCGTTATACTAAAGTTATGCTACACAAGCATATTTCTAACAAACACATTTGTTCTTTCTTCCCCCTTTCTCCTTGATTCTCTCCCCTTAATTTCCCCCTCATTCTATAATATACACTGCAATTGTACCATCTCTTATTGAAAAAAGAAAGTAGTTTGTAGTTCTTTTAGATCTATTAAAGATGATATATGGACTATAGTAAAACAAAATTGGGCTTGGCACCAGTTGACATTATCAAAGCATTGCAGAGACACAGATGGAGATAAACCTAATGAGGTCATAACTAGTCTGTCTCAGAGGCAGTAGGTTATAGTTATCAAATTGTGCATAGAATGATATCCAGGATACTGTTTTAGAATTAAAGCCAAAATCATATCATCCCTGCAAACTGCAGTTCACACTAATCTCATCATCTTTCTCAAGTGAATCTCGGTAATCAAATAGCACTATTCAGCGGATATCACTCATTGAGTATCCTAATATCCTAATAAGGTGAGCATCTGTTCAGGCATGTAAATATAGTCAGTATTTGGATAGATGCCTAGACATGTTTCCCAGGCTTTCTGCAGGCTATGTAAATTATTCTATACTAATTTTATATTTATTGGCAAATGAAGCCAAAGAAGCTCATGTATCTTGTTTGAAAAGTATTTTAGTAGATAATTCTCTATTAATAATTAATGGGGCTGCTGTGGTGTATTGGTAATACATATGGCTTGGACCAGGGGATTCTCCAAGTGTATGTTCAAGTTCTGATCACAAAATGAGATTAGGAAGGGAATCCATTTGGGGTAATGGTCTTGGTACAAATCTTTCATGAAAATGCACTATCCCTGACCTTGCATGGGGTTTTATGATATGAAACTGGATCATCTGCAAAGTACCCATTATGTGAAAGAAAGTAATAATATATGATAGTTGATTCCTTTACTCCAGAAAGTTAGTCATCATTTTTGTATTCAAACTTACCAAAAAAAAGTAGGTTCTTGGTTAAAACTATCCTTTTTTGACAATTGATAAGGGAACTTTATAGTTCCTATAATTTTGGGGGCCTCTGCACATGTGCAGATGTTTTGTGTACTTATTTAGATCTAGAGGGACAAAAGGGATGGGCTGTGTCCCCCATTATATGTGCCACTGCCTCCCATCCACTAATGTACTGCTGTCACTCATTTTTATTTTCCCCTCGTTTTTTACTTGTAAAACAGTATGCTCTCGGGACTTGACATGTTTTTTCCTGTTATATAGTAGTTAAAAGTCTGCATAGATGTGTATAATGTAATAAAACAAGAGGAAGAGATCCTGATGGTGAATATTAATTGTAATATTTTTCTATGTATATATTTTCAGAGCATGCTGTAACAAAATGTAAATAATGGTTTATTTAGACTAATTGTATATACTGGAAATATAGAAAAAAAAAAAAAATGTGTTTAATGTACAATAGGACATCCTCATTTTTTATTATGAATCAGAATTTTAGTTACGGTGTTAAGTTACAATATATGATGACTGTTATGAACTTATATTAACACTGTTTAGATCTATAGTTATATTACTCAATAGATGGTCTGAAGTTAATGTAATTGTTTAGTTCAGACATGTGAAAAGGGAAATTTATTTGCCATTATAGAGATGACATTCTCAACTTTATTTTGCTGTATCAGATATAAAAAAAGAAAAAGAAAGAAAGAAATGACTTCAAAGTTTAATCCTTAACCCAACTGCCCCAGACTTATGTTCTGTCTCCTGTAGTTTTTTAAAAATTTGTTACATACAGATGGCCCCACATACTCAACAAGCAAGGAGTCTATCAGTAGGCCCGAGTAACCGATCCTGATTTCCCCATTCCTTGAATTGGGGGGGGGGGGGGAAATGTTTTTTTCTTTTTAATACATTTGATCTTGATGCTGATATTATTGTTATTGATGCTATGATTATTAAATTCATTAAAATCTCGATAAAATTTAAGATAAGGAATTGATGCAAAAGACCCTTTCCAAAAGTCGAGGAAAAGAGTAAACAGGTGAGATAGGTAGGACTTTACCTGACTCCTTGGTGACTAAGTACTTGTAGAGCCATGTATGTGTAAATACAATAAATAAACTTGTATTACAGTGGGCATGGCTTGTGTCCTTGCCATATGTGCCAATTGGGTAAACAAATTACAGGAAATTGACATTTGTGAAGGATATTGCCTAGTTTCTATCAGTCAAAGCAGCTACACATATATACTGATTTACTTTTTTTTTTTTACTGAAAGAAAAGAAGAAAAAAAATTGGAAAACTTCAGCATATTTTTCATGAATGTTTGACAACATTTCCCTTTAAGATTTATGAGGTAATGAT